CCTCGCTTCTTTATGTTCCTCAAAAGCAGAAGTGAAAAGCTGAGAAATTTTCCTGTTGGCTAACCAATTTCATAACCAAAGCACGGAGTGGAGGGAGGTGATTGGCGGGAAATTCTCAGGGAGGGGGCTAATTCGCTGAAACAACTCCCTATCCCTGGAAGAGCAAGGGATAGCAAGCTGACACATTTTGCAAATGTGCCACGAATGCAAATAGGCCCTGCTTTTCTTGAGGTCACAGGGCAGATGATGTCAATATTAAAATTCTGGATTTTCCTGGGTTGGAAAAACGTTGATGTAGAATCTCTGCAACAAGTGGAGAATACACCCATGTGTATGCAGAAACACAGGTCCTTGTGCTTAAACTCAGGAAGTCTTCTGCTTGGAGGTGGATAAGTGGGTGTAATGAAGTGACAGCAGAGCCCTCCTGGTCTGAATTGAGAGTGCTGGCCTCTGGCAATGGGAGCTCTGCTAGTTGCAGGTGCCTCTGGAGAGGCCCTTGGCCCCCCTGGAGTGGAGCAGGGTATACAGTATACATGGGATGCACACTCCTGGCATGGCTGGGAGAATCCTACATCCAAGCTCACGCAACCTTGTGAGGCCAGATGCCAGCACTTTGGCCAATCTAATGTTGAAACCCCTTCAGCACTGAATGACCAGTACCATGAGGGTGAATGAAGTGTTGTGAAAAAATGGTGAATAAATCAAGTGTTCACAATCACAATCACTTTGTAAAACGCAAAGGAGGCACTCTGCGCTTGAAATAACTTCTTAGTGGTGGTTGCTTCTCTAAGAAGATCCGTTGGTAATGGAGAGCAGTACCTGGCTCTGTGTAACACAGTCCAGCAGAGTGCCTGACCCCTGGTACTGTCCAAGGGCAGCTCCTCATTGGTTGAATGTGAGTGACCAGGTCATAAATGGTTCAGGAATGAGAACACATCCAGGTTTATTGCACTCATTACAGCATTAAACTGAAACCTGGCTCACTTTTCTAGTTCCCTAGGGAGGCTGTGAACTATTTTTTTTTACCACCAAGTCTAGCACAGTGCCCAGCACGTGTATGCAGGCACGTAGGTTTTGCTACCTGGATGAGGGGACAGGGGCTGGGCAGTGTCTTCATTCAAATAGGCAGGCACCTACTATGTGCCAAGTACTGTGTTGTTCTGCATTACCCAAGAGAGATGGCCTTTAACTTTGACAGGGGAGTATACTTGAGGTATGAATAAAATAGGCTCTGTTTTGGAATATGGATATCTGCATGAGCTTGCTCATTTGGCAGCTGTCTGATTCTCATTCGGGCTCCTAGTTTCTTCATGTTAGGAAGGCAGACATACGAATCTCATCTTTGGTAAGCTATAGGTTCTGTTGAAAATCTAAAAGCTGTTTATTGCATCCTTTTTTGGGAATTTGTTAGGCAATAATACATTTTCAACCCTACACTTTCATAAAATTGTCTAGTGGCACAGCTCCTGCCAGGGTGGCTCTGTGAGTGCCTCTGTTTTCTCTCCCCAGGATCCACTGTGCAAATTAATCACTCATCCATATCCTCCCTGGAGGGACTGATACCATCCTCAAATCCTATGTGCTGCACCCAGGAGACCCTTATATCCTGATGGCCCTGTGGGCTGTCCTGAAAGAATACAGAGATGTCTGTTAATGTGATTATAAGCCAAGAAAAGGAGTCTAAAAGACAGTGACAGGAAGGGAGTATGTATGTGAGGTACTTGCACATAAGCTATGGTTTAATTAATTCTGGAGCCTGGAGAACAGGTCAGGAGCCTTGAACACATGCACTTTGCCATCATCTTCTAGTGGTTGAGTTCCAGAACCTCAGAAGAAGGCCCCTGAAAGGAACTCTAGTGATGCTGGTCAGATCTAGTGGGATGAAACCAAATGGCTGTTGGAATGTGAGTGGTGGGTGAAGATACAAGGCCAGGTGATATGAAGTGAATTATGCAGAGTTAGGGTGTGGATGGAGGAGTACATAGATTCTTTCTGCCTGAGGGAAATTTTGGAACCATGGAGCAATGCCCTTTGACGTAATTCTGCCACATCTCATCCTGACCCTGTGGACCAGACCTCAAGCTGTCTACCAGCCTGTCCGTTTCGGGAAGTAAAACCTCTTGTCGTGTCAGCTTGCACAATGAGTGTATCAATCCCTGTCTTTCCAAGGAGACAGCTCAAGCCACAGCACGCACTTCCAGTCCCCAGTGAGTAGAAAACAACTCAGTATAGAAATAGCTGCTCGAAGATTGGAGAGCGCGAGAGTGACGTCACCGTAAATGGCAACGTAGAATCAAGGAAGTGAAACAAGCAGAAGTGGGGAGTTGTCAGTGACAGGATGTTGTGAAGAGTCCCAGATTTTGGGAAATGTTTAGCTCTCAAGTCACTCAAATGCTTCTTAGCTGCCAGTTCCCCTCTGCCTGGGCATGCTGTTCTACCAAGACGGGGTGCAGGTATTGATTCAAAGCAACAGGTGAGCTGGTGCCACCTTATGTCTGATCTGGGGCTCCACAACCCATTTTCAGGGTTGGCCATCACCACGCTGGTCTTCAGTCAGACTGAGCAAAAAGCAAGAGAAATAACTATGCTTTGATTCTTAAAATGTTGTGCATACACCAAACAATGTCTGTTCTCTACAGCAGGCCATTTCTTCCTGGTTCACTCTTTGGTGGTTCATCTTGATTGGCTTCATAGATGCCTTGGAGGTTAGTAAAGTACACTTCTGGATGTGTCCAAGTAGATCATAGAGGTGTGACCTTGGGGACAATATCTGGCCCACAGCCTCTTCTGCTCTCTGCTGTCCGGATGGCATAAGTTCAGCATCTTTCCTCCACCAAGCTCCTTCACCAAGATGTCCCTGCCTCAGAACAAGACAGTCATGGACAGTAGCCTTTGAAACCACAACAAAAATAAACCTGTTTTCCTTTAAATTGCATATATCAGATGTTCTTTTCCTAGCAGGAGAAAGCAGACTACTAAAGTTCTCTTGCTCAGAACAGTGCTAAGCTACAATTGCGTCTCCCATTTCCTTCTAACCTCATTTCATTCTTGTTGACTTTCTAACATTGTTCTCAGGGATCTGTCATTTTCCTCCCATCACTTTCATAGGCCTTCTGCTATCTAAATGTGTCAATGACATCCTACGAACCACATCCATCTTGGTAGACACTTCTCTCTTTCTTTCGGTTTCTGGAACTGGACAATGTGATTTTGAGTTTTAAAACCTCTTTCTTTCTCTGGCATCATCTCCAGTGGGCCTGTCACCCTCTTGGACCAAGGTCTTCAGAGTGGCCAAAGGTAGATTACCAGGGGCATTTTGTTGTGTTCTCTGGTTTAGAATAAGGAGGACTTAAATAAAGGAACAGGTGGCTGGGCACGGGTAGGTTCACAGTCTCCAGTGGCTTCTCCCGACTGGCTAAATTGTTATTATACCTTGAAGAGGCCAGAGCACACTTGGCCCAGCAGAGAAAACCCTTGAGTGGGAAAGGTGGGTGGCAGGTATTTCCACTTGGTGCTTTATTTTTTTTAAATCATGTACACATAATGGGCATGAGAGCACGAACCATGACTGGAGGGTTCTGGTTCTCCTCTCCCAGGCTTCAGGACAGATTTTCTGCAAGAAGTTGGATAGTAAATGTGTTAGGTGCAATTATTCTCTCTCTCTCTCTCTCTCTCTCTCTCTCTCTCTCTCTCTCTCTCTCTCTGTCTCTGAAGTCATAAGAATCATGTAACTCAACAGGCTTGACTGGATTTGCCCTGCCAATCACAGATTGTATGCTACGGTTTCCCACCACTGTATCATACCATTTTTCCTGAGTGTAAGATTTAGAAACAATACCTTTTATTATTTTTTAAAAGCTTCTCTCACCAAGCACTTACCAAGTGCCAGGCATCCTTTTCTCATTGTTTCAGTTCATCTTCACAGGAACCTACTTTTAAGATAGACAGCACTGATCAATTTCATTGCAACAGCCTGGCCTCAGTTTACTCACAGGCGTGGCTGAGAAGGGTACCTTTTCCAAGACCGTACAAATAGTAAATGCTGGGTCTATGACTCAAAACATGTGCTAGCTGAGCCCAGGGCAGGTTCTCTGCTCTCACTTTTAATTGTTCTGAGGCTTTATTGTCCTGTCTGCATAGTGGCCATCTGTGGACAAAGTCCTCATGAGTCACTTACGTTTTAGACATCACCGGTCAGACAGAAACATGCATCTCAGCCATGCCCTGGAGTGTTTCCCTGTTATCCTTTTAAGATTGGAGAAAGCGCCATTCCCTGTCCTTTCTCCTTCCTCTTCCTGGGTGTGGGGCGCCCTGTGAATTCACTTCTTTCTATCTCAGGAGAGCCCTGGAACTTTCCAAATCTGTGTCTTTATCTATTTATTTTCTCCCCTTTTCCTCTTTGCTTTCTCATTTGCAATTGGCAGCCCTGACGCTGGACTTCTTCTGTTCTTTTTCCTCATCCTTGACCTTCGTTGTGGCATGGTTGAGAACAGTCAGCATCCCTAACCTTGGAACCATACACTTCTTTCTTTAGGATGCTGAGAAATATGTCTTTCTACAAATCTGTGATAAAATACTTCTCTCCTAAAACATTTGCTGTGTCTATGTTCTCCTTTCTGGTCATTGCACAATCGAAGGTGGTGTGGCCATTTCCTTCTAGGATGCTAATTTCACTTTTTCTAGTCATTTCCTCTTTTTTTTTTTTTGGCCGGGACCGAGTTTTCCGTCTTTTGAGAGAGGAAATTCTCAGTAAAGCCACTTAGTATTTGTGGGTACTCTGGGAAAGTTTAGAACCCAGAATACAGGTGGCCAATCTTCCCTACT